TCTCTGTCAAATAAATAAATAAAATCTAAAAAAAAAAAATTATTTATTTATTTATTTATTCGAGAGACAAAGAGAATGAATGAGTAAGTGGAAGGTGGGGTGGGGGGGAAGAGGAGAGAATCTCAAGCAGACTCTATGCTGAGCGTGGAGCCCCATGAAGGGATAGATCTCATAACCCTGAGATCATGACCTGAGCTCAAACAAAGAGTTGGACACTTACCAACTGAGCCACCTGGGTGCCCCAAGCATAATTATTTTAAAGTCTGTGTCTCTTAGGGCCAGCACCCAGCTGGAACTAACTTGTAAGAGTGCTTACATAGTCTGTTATGTATGCTATTTCTTTTCATAGTGTCTTTTTTCCTTAAGTAAAATTTATTTAAATTCCAGCTAACATACAGTGTAACATTAGTTTCAGGTGTACAATAGTGATTCAACAGTTCCATGCATCACCTGGTGCCCATCACAACAAATGTACTCCTCAATCCTCAACACCTATTTAATCCATCCCCCCACCCACCTCCCTTCTGGTAACCATCAGTTTGTTTTCTACAGTTAAGAGTCTGTTTCTTGATTTGTTAGTCTCTCTCTTTTTTTCCCCTTTGATCTTGTCTCTTAAATTTCACATATGAGTGAAAACATATGGTATTTGTGTTGTTCTGACTGACTTATTTTGCTTAGCATTATACTCTCTAGTTCCATCCATGTTGTTGCAAATGGCAAGATTTTATTCTTTTTTATGGCCAAGTAATGGTATACTTACTTGGCCATAAAAAAGAATGAATATATCATCTTTATCCATTCATTAGTCAGTGGACACTTGAGCTGTTTCCAGAGTTTGGCTATTGTAGATAATGCTGCTATAAACATCAGGGTGCATGTATCCCTTTGAATTGGTATTTTTGTATCCTTTGTGTAAATACCTAGTTGTGTGATTGCTGGATTGTAGGGTACTTCTATTTTAAACTTTTTGAGGAACTTCTATACTGATTTCCACAGTGGCTACACCAGTTTGCATTCCCACCAACAGTGCACAAGGGTTCCCCTTTCTCGCCATCCCCATCCTTACCAACACTTGTTGTTTCTTATGTTGTTAATTTTAGCCATTTTGACAGGTATGAGGTGATATCTCATTGTAGTTTTGATTTGTGTATCCCTGATGATCAGTGATGTTGAGCATCTTTTCATGTGTCTGTTGGTCATCAGGATGTCTTCTTTGGCAAAATGTCTACTCATGTCTTCTACCCCTTTTTCAATTGGATTATTTGTTTTGGGGGTGTTGAGTTGCATAAGTTCCTTATATTATTTTGGATACTAACCCTTTATCAGGTATGTCATTTGGAAATATTTTCTTTCATTCTGTAGGTTGCCTTTTAGTTTCATTGACTGTTTCCTTTACTGTGCAGAAGCTTTTTATTTTGATGAAGTTCCAATAGTTTATTTTTGCTTTTGTCTCCCCTGCCTCAGGAGACATATGTAGAAAGAAGTTGCTATAGCCAATGTCAAAGAAGTTATTGCCTGTGTTCTCCTCTAGGATTTTAATGGTTTCCTGTCTCACATTTAGGTCTTTAATCCATTGTGAATTTATTTTTGTGTTTGGTGTAAGAGTGGTCCAGTTTCATTCTTCTGCATATGGCTCTCCAGTTTTCCCAACAACATTTGTTGAAGAGACTGTCTTTTTTTTGTTGGATAGTCTTTCCTGCTTTGTCGAAGATTAATTGACCATATAGTTGTGGGTTCATTTCTGGGTTTTCTAATCTGTTCCATTGATATGTGTCTATTTTTGTGCCAGTGCCATACTGTTTTGATCACTATAGCTTTGAAACACAACTTGAAGTCCAGAATTGTGATGCCTCCAACTTTTCTCTTCTTTTCAAGATTGCTTTGGCTATTCGGGGTCTTCTGTGGTTCCATACACATTGTAGGATTGTTTGTTCTAGCTCTGTGAAAAATACTGTTGGTATTTTGATAAGAGATTGCATTAAATGTGTAGATTGCCTGGGTAGTATAATCATTTTAACAATATTTGTTCTTCCAATCCACGAACATGGATTGTTTTTCCATTTCTTTGTGTCTTCTTCAATTTCTTTCATCAGTGTTCCAGCAAGGAAGAGGTAAAACTTTCACTATTTATAGATGACATGATACTCTATATAGAAAACTTGAAAGACTCCACCAAAAAACTGTAGAACTGATAAATGAATTCAGTGAAGTCACAGGATACAAAATCAATGTACAGAAATCTGTTGCATTTCTTTCTTTTTTAAAAAAATGTTTTTATTTAAGTAGGCTACATGCCCAACATGGAGCCCCATGTGGGACTTGAACTCACAGCTCTGAGATCAAGACCTGAGCTGAGATCAAGAGTCGGGATGCTCAACCGACTGAGCCACCCAGGCACCCCTGTTACCTTCTGTACATCAATAATGAAGCAGTAGCAGAAAGAGAAATTAAGGAATCAATCTCATTTACCATTGCACCAAAAACAATAAGATACCTAGGAATAAACAAACAGGTGAAAAAACTGTACTCTGAAAACTATAAAACACTAATGAAAGCAATTTTCATAGTGTCTTAACTCCTGCCTGGTTATGTCTGATTGAAAGTTTTTCACTGTGTTAAAGAAATGTTTATAGAAATAATTTGAGGTCCCCAGGAACATTAGCTATCCAGGATCCCTTTAATCCAATTTCAGGGACTAAGATTTACTCTCATAGAGTTGTAAATTGGGTTGTTTTCTTTCTTGTTCACCTTTACAAAGCATTCAGAGCACAAGAGATTTATTATGGTTCCTACTCTTGATAGGCCCTGGAATCTAACTTCAATTTCTTAAGCCCCATAGTTTTCAAAAGCATTATTAGGGGCGCCTCGGTGGCTCAGTCAGTCAAGCCTTCCACTCAGGTCATGATCTCAGGGTCCTGGGATCAAGCCCCGCATCGCGCTCCTGCTCAGCGGGGAGACTGCTTCTCCCTCTCCCTCTGCCCCTCCCCACTTCATGTGAGAGAGCTCTCTCTCTCTCTTTCTGCTCTCTTTCAAATAAATGAACAAAATCTTAAAAAAAAAAAAAAGTTTTATTTAGCCTCTCAATGGACTCTTCTGGAATCAGAAATTCCTAAGAAGGATGGGGCCTGAAATCAACCTCTCTGGAGGCCAACCTCTTCAGATTTAAGTACACAGACAGATTTTGAATTGGTGATTTTCACGACTTCATTAACTCTCCAATGCCTTTACGTCTTTTTCCCTTTTCTTCCTTTCTTCCTCCCTCCCTGTCTCCCTTCCTTCCTTTCTTTTCTATCCTTTTTCCTTCCTCCCTTCCTTACTCTTTAATATCCTGCCCAGTTTTTCTTGTTTTCTTCTACAGAAAGCTTGGTCCAAATGACCTACTCTACTTCACTGTAAGTGGAAATCTCCTCAATATAGCTTTCTATCCTACTTAAGATTATGATACAATTTTCCCATGACATTAAATATTCTTCAAAAACATATTAAATTATATTCCTATAGAAAATGTGTTTACCTGTTGTTCTAGGATCATATTCTTCTCTCGTTCTACATTGAGAACCATTCTCTTTGTATATTCTAGTTGCTTCTCTAGAAGAGTACAGCGAGACTGAGCTGAGCTTAACTGTATAGTAATATCTGTGAAAAAAGAAAAAGTAATAATGCCTAGATTATTACATAGATCAGAGATTTGGTAATCACAAGAAACATATAAATTCAATCAAGAACTAAAAGCTCAAGGATTCTTTAGTTCTAAGTACTGACTCTGTAAGAGTTGTGGACATATATTTTGTGCATATCTCATTAACTACATAATACTAGTTTAACATTGTCTTCCCCTAAAAGACCCACAGGGCAAACTTCTGAAAGAGTAAGAAGTCAGTGACTTGTGGGATGATAAATATCTTGGCTGTTCCTGGAAAATGACATTATCTGAAAAAATAGAGGACCTAAAGTCTCTTTCCTATCAATATATTTTTCTCTTTCAGGAAACTCAGGTATATCCAATCTTCCATTCCCATTTCCTCTGCTCTTGACTACTGACAGCATAGTTATTTCCTAAGAAGTAATCAGCCTCTTTCTGATTCTTTAATTTTTTACTTTCCTCAGTTCTTTAGACCACTTTTCTCCAATATCCTCAGAAAAAAATCTTCTCATTTCTTCACTCTATTTATAAGTTGAAACACAAACTTGAACCTTATTTAGGAGGGTGAATGTACTACAAGGAAAAAGAAAGCCATACATTATGAAGTAAAAATTATATAAAGAACTTATGTTCTAGTGGCGCCTGGGTGGCTCAGTCGTTAAGTGTCTGCCTTCGGCTCAGGTCATGATCCCAGGGTCCTGGGATCGAGCCCTGCATCGGGCTCCCTGCTCAGCAGGACACCTTCTTCTTCTTCTCCCACTCCCCCTGCTTGTGTTCCCTCTCTTGCTGTGTCTTTCTCTGTCAAATAAATAAATAAAATCTTAAAAAAAAAAAAAAAGAACTTATGTTCTAAATCTCTAAAACTTATGTCCAAATGTCTTTTTCATAATTTCCACAGAAACCTCTACTTACCTGTCCATTTCCTCTAATTAATCTTTCGAGTCAATAAAATTTTTTATTCATTTTTATGGTTTCTGTATTGTTCAATTACTAGTGTTGCTTTTTATTTTCAAATTTTAAAAACCAGTGTTGACTGAATATATAAAGTATTTTAAGTATATTATAGGTAAAATTAGATTTTGTTGGTATTCTGAAAATATTCTAATTTCTAAACACAATCTGTCTAAAAACTTAATGTGTCTTTTACCCAGGTTAGGCCTACTATGGGTAAAGCTGATATGAATATTCAAGTATAAGTCTTCTTATGGAAATATCTTTGTATTTATTGGATAAATACCTAGGAATGGAATTACAGGGTTGTATGGATAGCACATGTTTTAGTTTTACAAGAATCTGTTGAACTGTTTTCTGCAGTGGTTGTACCATTTAATGGTCTCACCAATAAGATGTGAGAGTTTCAGTTTCTCCACATCCTTACCAATACAGGATATTATTACATCCTTTAATTTTGGTCATTCTAGTGGGTATACATTAGTATCACATTGTGATTTTATTTGTATTTTCCTGTTGACTAGTTTTGCTGAGGATCATTTCATGTGCTTATTGGCCTGTATATCTTCTTTTATAAAATACCTGTTCAAATTTTTGGCCCACTTTTTCTGTAGGTTGTTTTCCTTTTATTATTATTATTAAGTTTTGAGAATTTTTTATATATTCTCAATACAAATCCTTTTCAGATATCTGTTTTGCAAACATTTTCTCACAATCTGTTACTTGTATTATTTTAACAGTATATTTTGAAGAATAAAAGTTTTAAACTTCAGAGAAAAAAACTTAATGTGTCTTTTAATCTCAAGAATTTATGAACTGGGATAATATATAATAGAAGTAAGCTCAAAGTGATACGTATTTAATGCAAATATCAAATTGTCTGTGAACAAGGCTTCAAGGTTTGAATATATATAAGAACAAAGATATTTGAGTAAATCTTAGACTGGGCTTTTTATTTTCAAGTTGTAAATTTTGATAACTCCTTATTTCTGAGAACTATTGAATTTCCTTACCTTTTTTCTGCTTTATCAGTTCCTGGTGTGCCAGATTTCTCTCATTTGTTTCTTTCTCCAAGGCCTTTTTATACTGTGCTGCCTCTCTGGAAAGAATGTTTAGGTTATCCTCAGCTTGTGTTCTCTCCAACTCTAAACGATGAATCTTTTCCTGAAGAGTTTTTAAGGCTAAAATAAGAGCTGTTGAAAAAAAATTTGCTTGTTACTTCAATGAAAATTTTTGAACACTCACATAGTAGCAATAAAAGTGAACAGTATATTTTTGTTAGTGAGCCAGAAAAACATACAAGTAACATATATTCCTCAAAAAAAAAAAAATCACTAAAACTCTAAAGAGGGACAATTTTTTTCTAATAGATCTTCTAAAAACAATATATTTATGATTATATTTAGTAATTTTCTAGGTTTGAGATAGCTAATAATCAAAATTTTTAATTCAATAAAGTAAATCTCTTCAAATAATGTCCAGTCTAGGAGGCATAAGAGTCTGAGTATGGATAAAGAAAATTAAGATGTAGTGTCACTAATTAACATGGAAATTTAGGTTTAATGTTAAAGGTTTTTCTCGGTTCTTGATATGTTCAATTTTAGTTAAATCACAAACATTTATTGTATCTTTGTCTAAGATTTAGTATTAATAATCAGAACATATGAGTTAGAAGACAGTTTCTTCCACCAGAAGAAAAATTATAACCTAGTGGTTTAACTCATGTCAGGCTTGAAAGATTTTAAGTGGTACACATGTACTACTGTGATTTTTATTCAGGTATATTAGTATCATCATGATTCGGGTATGTTCAGAGTTCTAAAATTTTCAAATAACACTTTCTATTCTGTTATAACTTCAAACTATAAAACGAGTGGAATGGAATATAAGTAAATGTTATAGGTTAATTTTCATATGCCAGCATACCTTGTTTATTGTGCTTCACCTTATCGTATTTCACAGATAATGCATTTTTTACAAATTGAACAATGGTTTCTGGCAACCCTATTTGAGTAAATCTACCAGCACCATTTTCCCAACAGCATTTGCTCACTTCATGTCTCTGTGTCACATTTTGGTAATTCTTGCAGTATTTCAAAATTTTTGTTATTATTGTATTTGTTATGGCAATCTGTGATCAGTGATTATGACGCACTGAAAGCTCAGATGATACCTAACATTTTAGCAATAAAGTATTTTTTAGTTAAGATATATAGTACATTGTTTTTTTAGACACAATGCTATTGCACAATTAATGGACTACAGTATAGTCTAAATGTAACTTTTATATGCACTGGGAAACCAAAAAATTCATTGACTCACTTCATTATGATATATTTCGCTTTATTGTGGTGGTCTGGAACCGAACCCACAATATCTCCAAGGTTTGCCTGTAGTTCATAACCAATTAAAAAGATGTTTGCTAGAGATTACCATGTGGTTCTTTTTGTTTGTTTGTTTGTTTGTTTGTTTTACAAATGAGATAAAGAAATTATATTTATTGCTCTTTAGAAATGCAATACCTGGTTTGCTGATTTGGAATATTTCTTGTGGTTTTTTACTCCACAGAGCTAGTCTATTTATTAATGGTAACATTTATTATAGAATATTAAAAAACCAGGTGATAACCAGCATTTTAGAAGGTAATTTGTATGGCATAGGCATGTTTTCCTAATTCAATTCTGATATCCTCCTAAGTTTATTATTTTTTTAAAGATTTTATTTATTTATTTGTCAGAGAGAGAGAGAAAGCACACAAGCAGGGGGAGCGGCAGGCAGAGGGAGAAGCAGGCTCCCCACCAAGCAAGGCCGATGCAGGACTGGATCCCAGGACCAGGGATCATGACCTGAGCCGAAGGCAGACGCTTAACTGACTGAGCCACTAAGGCGTCCTTCCCCCTAAGTTTATATTTTAAAAGTTACAATACTTGTATTTTGTAGTTACTCCAATGTCCTAGCTTCCCAAGGAATTTTCAAGGGTAATTTTGGAAATAGGCAATTTCCGAATTTAATCCTTGAATAAGATACAACTTTACTTAATTCACTAGTATTCTAATCATCTAGTTTAGAAGGATTCCAAATCTAACCTTTGATTCTTCAAAGAGTATTTTCCTATTTTCTCATGATTTTTTAGGATAAAATTGTAATTATGTGTCTAGGTGGTTAATCTTCATCTTACAGCTGAAGAAGCCAAAATAAAAAATGTTAAATAACTTATGTTTATAGAAACTTTAAGTAACAGAGTCAAAACTAATAGTTTTATTAAAATTAAACACATAATCATATTATTTTCTATGTAAAGATGTAAAGTTTTATATAACATTTCATATCATTCCCTTAATTTTTAATATGACTTTATTTTAGAATTACCTTGGCTATTTGGACTATGAAGCATTTTAGGAGAGGTAGCTTCTAAGTTTGCAGAGTGGTGAGTCTGAGATGATTCATCATTCTGGGTAAATGATGGAATAAAAACTCTTTCTGGAGGTTTAAGATAGCTTCCTACTATACTATGCATTAATTCAGAATCCATTATCTGTAGAGAATAAAGGAATAATATAGTATAGCATCATTCTTTCCTATTTAAATGACAAAAATATTAGGTGAAACTTAACATAAATATATAATCATATACTGTGGAGTTGTTTCTTTATAGAGTTAATTATCACAAGTTCAACTATAATAAGCTCATCAATACAAGAAAGAAACATGACTATTTACTGTATAAATAGTATGGACAATTCTGCCTGATTTTCAGTGAGCAAATGCCCTGGAGTGAGCATTAATTATATAGGTGGTATGACTTTACTGGTTTCTCAGTTGATCATAAGTTCATATACCTCTCATCAACTGAGCACTTCTCTACAAACAGTGTGACTCTAGGATTCTTAGGGAAAGTACACATTCTAAAAGACAACATAGCTTTGAAACACAAGCCACCCATATAATCCAATCCTCAAAGACTGATGAATTCCAATGTACTGGCTTCCTAAGGGATTTTCAAGGGTAATTTTGGATATATCAATCTCTGGATCTAATCATCAGATATGACACAACTCCATTGAATGTGCCAATATTTTTTTTTTTAAATAGGCTCTACACCCAGCGTGGAGCCCAATGTGGGGCTTGAACTCAGATGGTGAAATCAAGACCTGAGCCGAGATCAAGAGTTGGACACTTAACTAACCCAAGCACCCCAATGCACCCAGCATTCTAATCATAGTTTAGAATGGTTCTCAATCTGAAAAACCTAAAATAGCTTTGTCATTCTGGGAGGTTATACTTAATTTTAATGTTTTATTTTTTAGGAGAGCCCTTTTAACCATTTTAGCAGATAATTTTTTGGTCTAATTTTCCCCAAATCATTTATTTTCCTTTCTGTAATTTACTTTAGAAAAGGGGTGCCTGGGTGGTTCAGTCAGTTAAGCGTCCGACTCTTGATTTCAGCTCAGGTCGTGATCTCAGGGTCATGAGATAGAGCGCTTCACTGGGCTCTGTGCTCAGCAGGAAGCCTGCTTGAGATTCTTTCCCTCTCCTTCCCCTTTTTTCCCTCCCCAAGCTCACACACACACACACACACACACACACACTCTCTCTCTCTCTCTAAAATAAATAAATAAATCTTTAATAAAATAAATAAAAGTTAAATAGCCTAGGAAGCTTTCTAGAATATTTGATGTTCTTTGCTCTTGAGAAGCAATCATTTTTTTTGCTATTGTTATTAGTATCAGCTACCATTTACTAACCATGTCTCCATCCCTCCGGGTTGTTGCTGCTCAGATACTGTCTGCTCCCCATGGGAGATTGCATCTATCTAAGTTGCTGTTCCCTCAAAAAAACAAGAGAGCAAAGTTAGTCACAGCTGGCTCACAATGAAGATCCCAAAGTACAGAAGTTCTGAACGTGATTGTACATCTTCAGAGAGAGATATGTGGCTGAAACTATCCCAAGAACCTCGGAATTACTCAAGATATCTCAGTTTTAGGCTCCTGGTGAGTTTCTCCAATAATAAGAAGAGTGAAATCTTGCCATTAGTCATTATACCCTGAGGTCCTTGGGAGGACTCCGCTTCCTCTTTACCAAATATAGTATTTATTTTACAAACTGGATTTTGTGCCAGTTAAAAAACAAATTCAAATTTGAGGTTTTTAATGTAAATGAAATGACTACTTAGAAGATGCCAATAAGTTAAAAATTAGACTAAAGTTTATTTAAATTAAATGTGTAAACACATCTTAAAGTGGAGATAAGCAGAATAACAACCCACTGGTAGGTGAAGAAAAAGAAAGGAAACAGTACAGAAATGAGAGAAGACACACTAGGATGCTCAGTGGATGGCATTGTAATAGAGGTCCCAGCTTAACCCTTACAATCTAGTCCTATGTTACAATCAAGTGCATAAACCCAGTAGAAGTTTATATACATAAAGAACTGTGGCATTCTAGGAGAAAAACTCACTCTGAAGGAAGATGAAAGAAGTACAGAAAGCTGATGCAAAGTCAAAGCCTTACTTGATGGAGGAAGGGAGGAGTAATTTTGAGTAAAGTACAGTCATGGTCATTCTAACTCATCTCTGACCCAGTCCCATGGACTCACACATAGGTGTTGGGAAGGGAGAGGACTGTAAGTAAAAACTGAGAAATATTTCACCAATATCTCTATAAAAGAGTGGGGCATTAGCTGTCCTGCCTTGTGTGGAATGTTATATTATAATGAAGAGGAAAGTTGCTAGAGATCACTAACACAGTTTTGACATTTTGAGGGCTCTGGTGCATTGTTAGTACTGTTCAGCAAGAGAGAGAGCAGCTGGAAGGGACATATTCATGGGCATGTATGACAGAACTTTCTAGAGAAAAAATTTCTGAAAGTAGAGAGGTGCCTAAGCCCCAACCTCCAAGGATTTTGACATATCTGGTATGGAGCCTAGCTGTAGGTCATTGAAAAGACCTCAAAAAATCCTGTGGAGCATTTCAGAAGATTTGCAAGGGGGGCAAAAGGCTGTGAAATGTGGGCCTTATTTGCATCAATAGCCTAGTAAAGCTTAGGGAAACTTAAGTTATAACTAGAACCATTACTGACAGCTTGTAAACAACCAGGAAAATGATCCATTTTCTCTATGGTATATAAAATTAAAATACCTTTGTGGGCTACAACTAAGGAGCCACTGCATAAATACCCTCCCCCCAAAAAACTGTGCTAGACACAAATACTGTACGGCAAAGTCTTTTTACTTGTTCTTGAGGAAAACAATTGTTCCAAAATGGTCCTTTTTAACAACCAGTGTCTATTCCTGCTAGTGCCTGACTGTGCCATCATCTCTGCATAATCCCAGAGGACTATTAGGGAGACAGCATTAGGAGACAGTCAGAGATACTACAATGGGTTCTAGGAATGGGGTACTCTCTGTTTCCTAAACTGCTCTGTTATCATTATTATAATTCTCATTTTGTAAATGAAGAAATAGAGGCAGAGAGGTTACTGAAGGTCATACAACTTGCAAGTGGTGGAGCAAGGAATTAAACCTAGCCAGTTCAATTCCAAAGCCTGGGTTCTTAATCACTATATTTAACAGCCCATAGTTTGGGGACATTTGCAGTTAGCCAGGTGTGAGACTATGCTGCATTTGGATTAGGGTGGTGACAATGGAGATGAAGAGAGTGTATAGAAGCAAGATGTATCTTGAAGACAGAAGTGACAAACTGGATTAAGAGGAGAAGAAAAGGAAGAAATCGAGTTTTCTAGCTTAAATAACTGGGTAGCCATTTATTAAAAAAATGAAGACCATGGCTAATACTCATATAGTACTGATATGTGTCAAAACCAGTCTAAGTGTGAGACATCCAAGTTAAGATATGAAACACGTAGTTTGATAGAAGAGTCTAAAGCTTGGAGAAGTCTAGTATAGAAATACAAAGAATGGCACTGTCAGCATATGGATGGTATATAAAGCCATAGAGAATAGAAGTCATTTAAAAGGAAGAGTATAAATAGAAAAGATTTCAGATAAGGAAGGAAAACAAGAGAAAGAGAAACCTATGATGGAAAAGAACCAGAAAAGTATGATGTCAGAAATAAAGAGAGGAGACTGTTTCCAGGAGGGAGTAGTTTAGATTAAAAAAAAAAAAAGTCAACCGGGGACACCTGGGTAGCTCAGTCGTTAAGCATCTGTCTTTGGCTCAGGTCATGATCCCAGGGTCCTGGGATCGAGCCCCACATTGGGTACAGAAAGCTGATGCAATGTAATTTTTTAGCCATTTCTGCTTCTCCCTCTCCCACTCCCCCTGCTTGTGTTCCCTCTCTCGCTGTGTCTCTCTCTGTCAAATAAATAAATAAAATCTTAAAAAAAAAAAGTCAACTGATTTTGAAAAGGAAGAGACCACTGATGATATAATGTAAGAACTGAAGACAGTTCCAAAGGCCCCATACTAAAAGGGCAAGTAGAGGAAGAGAAACCAGCAAAAGACACAGAAATTTTATTCAAATTAAAATGTCCTTTTGCAGAGAACTTCAATTATCTGGCTTAAAATCATCCAGGACTTATAAATTGTGTCATGTCATCCATCCTGTGAGCTAACCTGCCTTAAGTCACAGCGCAAACAATTCTACCCATCATGCAAGTCACTTGCACAGAATCAATAATTTTCATTCTTGAAAACTTCTGTGGCAGGAAAGTACATTATATCCAATTTCACTGACTGAATTCATTATTCCCCCCAAATTCGTATGTTGAAGCTCTAACCTCCAGTATTTTATACTGACTGTATTTGGAGATAGGGCCTTAAAAAGGTGATTAAATTTAAATGAAACCCTTAAGATGGGCTCTAATCCAATCTAACTGGTGTCTTTGGAAAAAGAGGAAATTTGGACATACAAATTATGCACCAGGGATTTTTGTGCCAGGGATCAGGAAAAGACCAAGTGAAGACACAGTGCGAAGACAGCCATCTGAAAGCTGAGGAGAGAGTCCTCAGAAGAAACCAAACCTACTGTCATCTTGATCTTGGACTTGTAGCACCCAGAACGGTGAGAATAAATTTCTGTTGTTTAAGCCACGCAGTGTGTGGTATTTGTTTTGGAAGACCTAGCAAACTAATACACTGACTGCAACTTATACCTTTGTTCAACAGTGAATGAAACACAGGAATAGTGATAAGGACGTAACAACAGATGCCTAAGGTCTATGCTATTTAGAGGACATAATAAAGTTACTTGCAATTTAGAGTTTCCTACTTGAAATGATGTGTAACAATTATTTAACTCTGCCTTGATTTATTTTCCCCCTATAATTGTTAGTAATTTCTTAAGCTTAATGAATTGAATAGGAAATTATTAATGTGCTATCCTGTATGCAATAATTTAAAATAATTAAAAATTTCCCAGCATAATCAAATGGGAGAATAAAACTAAAATCATGCTTCTGACTCATATTTAATTTATATGTATTTGAATTAGTTTCTGACCCAAATATTAGCCTTTTTACCTAAAATACTGTAAAATATTTATTCCCTTAATAGTTTATATTAAAAATGAAAGAATACTGCTATAGACTTAAGAATTAAAGTGTCATTCAAAAAATTACAGCATTATAAAATTATAAAAATATGAGAAATTTGAATTATAGGGACATAAATACAGGGACATATAAATAACTAATCTGAAGGTTAAGGTACAATCAAATTCAGCTAACTTTAGAATATAGTGAAATACAGTCTGTTTTTTTTTTAAAAAAAAGAGAGATTTTATTTATTTATTTGAGAGAGAGAGAGCATGGGGGCAGGGAATGGCAGAAGCAGACTCCCCACTGAGCAGGGTACCTGACGTGGGGCTCGATTCCAGGATCCTGAGATCATGACCTGAGATGAAGGCAGATGCTGAACTGACTGAGCCACCCAGGTGCCCCTAGAGTCTGTTTTTTTTTTTTTTAATTTATTATTTGACAGAGAGAGAAAGAGAGAGAGAGAGCACATGAGAGGGGGGAGGGTCAGAGGGAGAAGCAG